AAATTTGTCGATTCTCTGCAGCTAGTCCGCTGCTGCTGCGGCCTCTGCTACAGCCGCACTCCCTCACAAACTGCGCGCTGAGCTGAAAATTCAGCCTTTTTCATTGCGTCTACCTAAATTTTTGCTCTGTGATTTTCACTTTTTCTATATTTGCTAATTTTAACCTTTCATGCAGCCTTTTTCCATTGTATTTTAATTACATTTTTTTTTTGTTGCAAATGCTGTACACTTTAACTTTCAACCAACTTATTTAGTAATGGCTGAAATATTTCTTTGCTAATTTGCAAAAGAATTTTCTTGTACTGCATACAATGTCAACGCGTCCACTCAGCGCACACTCGACGCAGGACAAGGACGTCCGCCGCACGAACGAAAGTCAAAGCCTTGTCTGCTGCTGTAGGAAAATTTTATTTTCCACGCTGGTGTCGTCGCTATCGCTAACTACGCCATGGCACACGACAGCCACTCGTGTGTTGTTCGTGCTCTCGTTCCAGTCCGCTCTCACGGCATTTGCGCTTATTTGGTGGGAAAGCGTCTAATACTGCTGTACTTGTGATGGTATATGCGACAAGCACCACTGCACAGGAATTTCCTGTTCATAACTCACTGGAGCCTTCATTTTTCAACCAATTATGTTAATTTTTTTTAGTAAAAGTTTATAAAATGGGCAAGCGACCAGTCCATTCCCGATCAGCAGCCGACTAAGTCCTCTCCCCTCAGTCGCACAGCGCATTTCAACGATTGGATCCAACGTTATGCTCGCCAGTTAACCTATACCTAAGTTAATGCATGCCTAAAATTTTTCTTAAAACCCAAAAAAAAAAAACAATTATTTTTGTGAAATATGTTTTATAGGAAATCAAATTTTTTTGTGAATTTTTTTATTCCGTTTTGTGGGAACCCTACAATTGTTTTCAACTAGTTTTCATTATGTAACATTTATTAACTGGAACAGGAGAATCGATTTTCTTCAAAATTGCTACTTTTTCTGCACTTTGCACTAAAAAATTTAATTTAATTTAATAAAAATTCAAATATCGCGCTCAAATGGCCTCTTCTAAATTTTATAAGCTTTCATTTAAAAAATTTTTTCAAATTGAGTTAAAAGTGAAGGCTCCAGTGAATTGTGACCAGTAAATGCCAGTTTTGAACCACTGTGCACTGGAATATAATCGAGCAACATAAATCTGGAGAGTTTTGCGGTGCGTTGCAGGTGTCGTTGTAGTTTAGGGCGGTTGCTCAGTCGATTCTCTTCGCCTCAACTTCCAACGACTGGCAACGGCCTTCGGGCAACATTTACACGGGCGTCCACTAGCACATATGTATGCCCACGAATGTATGTATGTAAGCTTACGAAAATTGCACCCACAACCGCAGCTGCCGCCACTCAGCAGCCATCCAAAAGCTGCATTGCAATGCTGCTAGTAGTGGATGACCGAATGAATGAGCGAATGTTTTGGCAATTTTGGCGAGTGATTGAGTATCTGAACTATACGGCTGCTCACCTGAATGCGTGTTTGTCTGTAGGTACATATGTACATATATCTCAGCATGGGAATTTCCACTTACACAGTTTGTTTATCATCGCCATTCTGAGTTTTCCTTTAATTTTCTTTTTATGATTTCGGTGTTGTTGTTGGCGTTTGGCGTTTACATTGCCGCGCCGCCGCGAACTTTGTCAAAATTCCACATGGTTGCTTAATTTCAGATTTTAGTGATGTTTTTTTTTGCGCTTTTTGTTTATGTTTATCCGAAATTTTTATTTCTTTTAGTTTTTCAGCGTTTGACCAGCAAAATAAAAAAAATGTGTAAACAAATCGGTTTCTTAATGCAGAGTAGATCCGCACATGTGTAGTTTGTTCGTACACAAGCAGAAATAGGAATACTTTTTAAAATAGTAAAATGGACAAAAATCAAGGTGGTCTTACTTTAGTTATTTTAAGACCAAATATAACAGAAGAATAGGTTACAGTGGTACTACTATAATAGTTCAACTGAATAATATTTGAAACATATTTCAGCTATAGGTGAAACATTTACCCGCTAGGTGGAGCTGGTAGATATTTACAAATGTCAATAGATAATGCTGTAATTAGAGTTGCGTACTTATACCTGGAAGGACCCAAATTGAATTCTCGGTCCCACAAGTATCGAGGTTTTTTCTAAGGGTGGTGGCCCTCGGCAGTCAATGGCAAATCTTGGAAAATAGTTCTGATATGAAAAAGTTCAAAAGATGGCGTTAGAGACACAGGGAATCAATCAGGGAACTATTTTGGGATTTTATAGATTTTGGGATTCTCGGGACTTATCAATATAAAAATCGATATTTTTATTGATTTGGTTATCGATTTTTTAATTGATATTTTTAACGATTTTGCTATCGATATTTTTTATCGATATTGTTATGTTATCGATTATCTATCGATTTTTTATCGACTTTGTTATGGATTTGTTATCGATGTTTTGATTTTGTTATGGATATTGTTATCGACTAAATATAACCTTAATCAAAAGCAGATGTATGTATGTATGTACATACATATGTATGTATATTGGTTATGAGACAAAATAAATATCCCTATAAACACTTTGGCGAACGTTCGAAAAAGACCTTCGATATCCAATATACATATCGAACTGAGAATAAACTCATAACCTATCTTAGTTTTCCAACGTTCATAGTGTATTGGAAATACACTTGAGATAGGTTCGAAAAAAATAAAATCCATAGAAACAAGAGAGGAAATGAAATCTAGCTCCTTTTCGAAATATAAGACAAACACTCTCTAATTAAATTTTCAATTCGATAATGGGCTGGATTTCGAATTCATAACGAAGGAAAAATACATTGGGTAACGAAGGTTCCGTTTTGCTGGAGAATGACCTGGTTCTCGAATCGAATACTAATCTGTTCCACATTAGTTATTGAAGGTGAGGCTGGAAAATAAGATTGGTGTTCCAATCATTTTCGAATTGTTAACCGAGTCCAGTCTTTATTGGAATATAACGTAAGTTTCACTTCTCCAGTAGAGGCCTAGGCGCACTTACTTTTTTTATGTATGTTACCGCATAAATTTGGACCACGTTAACTGATTTCCATAATTCTTTTTTCACCGGAAAGGTGGTCCCATTCTAATTTTGTTTAGATCCGATAGTTGGATCGTGAAGAAATTAACGATAATCTTAAATTTTTTTATGAGAATCGAAGTCGGTTTTGTTGTTTGCTTAAAAATTACTCGTCTTCACAAAGTTTTGTGACTTTCAAGAACATGAGTTGAGCATTTTTCTCAAAACCATCCTCTTGTGATAATGAATATAATTGTCTTAAACTCATAACAATTTACTAAATAATTACTTGCTAGATGTTGATGGAAAAGCCTTTAATGATCAAGAATCGCTTAAGATTATGCATCTGATCAAATGATAAAGTGAACAAATTAAATTTTCTCTAACATTACGCTTTCGTAATTAAATACTTAAGCTTACAAAGTGGAAAAGCGGGAACTTCTAACCGAACAGAAATCAATCATAATTAACCTGATCCCTCTTTATCTGATCATATGACACAGCATTGTAGACGACGAGAAGACATAACGACGAGAATACATAGACGAAAGGTTTACCAGCGAAGCTCATACAGCCCGTCTACAATTGGTTGGTATGTATGTATATGTAGAATTGCAAGAAGGAAACAAATTCTGGAAAATTTGTTTGGCTAAGTTGCAAATATACCGAAAATTTGGTATATCTACAGAAAGTACTTTCAAACTAAAAGCGTTGAGAAAAAGTACAATTGTACCTACTTTGCCTTCACTGGTGGTGACTCAGGCCGTGAGCGACTGTGGATATCCAGTGGCTCCTCAAAGATGAACAGCTCAAAAAACAGATTCAAAAATCTACGAAGGAGTTTGAGTAGGAGGTTTTTGACAAAAACTTTCCATCAACTGTCAGTTTAAATTAGAGGACATAGCTATAAATAAGATAAAAGTAATTTCCAAGGTTATGGTCGATCAACGAGTATCTGAGCTATGTACTTTAGAACAAACATACATAGTAGATATAGCTACGAAATTTGTCAAGGAATTCCTACGAAGACGCACTTACATCTGACCATGACTTAGGTGGATTGGTGCTAACTTCTTTCTTTCATTGAGGTTGAACGAAAAACGGTTCAACTTAGTGAAGCTAAAATTAAAGAATATGCGGCATTTGATTAAAAATGCATCAAATTTGAAACTATTTTAAGTAGTTATGTTCAAACACAAAATGTGAGGAAGGCCACTTCTGCTCCGACGGCCTCAATTCTGAGTAGGATTCAAAATGATTTTCAAAAATTTTTACAATGAATATTATGATTTTAGTAAAAAAAAAAAATCATTCTAAGAACTAGATTTGCGAAACAAAATTATTCATTCTTTTTTTACTGCCACCCAAAGAGCAACGAAATGCTGCCTGCAAAATATGTGTATACAATTTAAAATAAATAAATCACAGAAACAACTTAAACAGCATACCAAATGAAAAACAACAGAACACATAAAACAAATACACAAAAATATTTAAAAAAAAAAGTTGGCTTAAAGCACGTATTACCCTCAATTCACGGTAAAGTGGAAATAATGGAGAACTAACAACCACTATGTTTGGAGCAACAACATCAATTACAAAGTAAACTTGCAAAAAACACAAAATCGCTCTCGTATGAATGAAAACACCCCGTAGGAATCAAATAACTGTTTTATGCGCTCGAACGGTTACTCTGAAAGATCTAAAATAAGTGCCTGTACGACGTAAGAGATCGGTGAAGCTGTACAGGGTCGCCTTTGCAAAGCTAGACTCTGTTTACCCTGGGGTTAATCTTGGAGTGACGTGGAGTGAAAGGACAATCCAGTCAGACGCCGAGCAAGGGCATGGGTTCCGGTGACACTATCGAAACTCGATGGCAAGGCGGGAGGAGGCATCTTCGCATGAGACCCTCCTCCTAAAATCTCGTTTAGGTTGCCAGATTACTGCAGCTTATTCCAAGTTGAGGCTCCAGCCATCATGGAGGCTGTAGAGAAGCTTATCACTGAAATTCAAATTTTTAGTGATACCCAGGCTGCATATAAAACTCTGGGCTCTTTCACGATTTACTCAAATATTGCGCTGGACTGCTGCCTATCTCTACAGGAGGCAGCCACGCAGAACAATGTTCATCTCACTTAGATGGGTCCCTGGTCACAGGAACATAGAGGGAAACTGCAGGACAGATAAACTTACAAGGCAAGTCACGACCAAGCAAATTCTTCCTGGAAAAATAACGCTTGTTATGACATATGCCACTTGCAAGCTTCTACTTTGGGAGTTTATATATATACCCGCTGTTGAGAGATTACGTCAAAGTACGACTTGTCGAATTTTCAGGCAGACAAGGTCTACTTGGGATCGGAAGCGATCACGAGCGTATACCCTCTGAGAAGAGAAGATATTTTAACGAGTTGGGGCTCTAACCGGACGTACCTTTTGCGAGGGTGTTGTAGGATCAGTTCCAGGCTGACCTCAGAAAGGGTTCAAACAAAGCAAGATGACGGTTAAGTTTCATCAGTGACATATATATATATATATATATATATATTTATATTTATGTATATTTTATGGAATTTTATTTTAATTATAATTCTCCAAGAACTTCTAAATACAATACTTGTTCTCTCGTTCTCGTTTTATGAAAAACACAATATAAAAAAACATTCGATAGATTCCAACATTAAATGCACCAGAAATTACTAATTGCTCGACATTCCTAAAGAGTATGCACACTTCTAAAAACACACATTCTTTACAACAACCAACAACTATCAAAATCCTCTGGTGCACCGAAACAATCTCACAAGCGACAGCAACAAAGCTGTACACACATAAGTATCAACAGATACTCATACCACAACAGCCACCTCAAACAACAATAAGCATCATTAAGTGATATAATCAACAACAAAACGAACGGACGGACGCAGACAAAGGGACGAACGGAACGAAAGTAAAGGACGGTTGGGACGAAACTGCAGGACAGTTGGAACAAACATAGAAGATGCAGGACCCTGTCGACTAAGGAAATGTCATTACCCACCCAATAGTTATTACGAACGCCACCGTCAATCGTCAAACTGTATCTCAGGCAGGTGCAGATGCACCAGCATACATTTATGGACCTAGTACATATGTATGTGCAAACATTGTAAGTGCTTACAAGGATATAGATGCATGTGCATATGCATGAGAAGTACTTAAGTAAGTGCATAAGTGAAAACACAAGTAACTACTTGTGCATGAGATGTGGGATGTGTGATGAGTATTGATGAAGCAACGCAAGGGTAAGCGAATAAGGGGTGGAAATAGGGGCAAGAATATTTGACACACCTTTGCAAGAAGGGATACATTTCTAGTGGAAGTTAAATGTAACATAGTACTTTTTGTTTATAGAAAGGTTTTTCACAAATTTAATGGATGCATTTCATGGTACTATTTTTTATATATACAGGGAAAGCTTGAAAGTTATGGGGGGCTCGAGCCTTCTCTCCCCCCCTTTCCCCGACCTGGCTACGCCCATGGGTATAGCCAAGGCACATTGAACAGGTAGTATCCGTAGGGCAGCTGATTTATTTATTTTTTTTTCAAATTATTTGGTCTCAAAAATGTCAAATATTTTTAATTTATTCTCACAAAAATTCTAAATTGTTAAAATCTATTTGCATGTGAAACCTTTTCCCATACAATACAAGCGATTGAAAAGCAGCTTTTGGAACGTTCGTGCAACTCAGCAGCACAGCCGCTGATTACTTGCAAAGAATGGGTCTAATAAAAAGCAAACAAATTTACTAGGAAAGAAAGTTGCATCAATTTTTATTTTTTCCAATTTCAATTTTTTATTTTTTATAATTTTTTGTATTTCACATGGCACGCTTTGATTTAGAAGAAAAAAATCAGAACAGTTTTTGATACTTCCGATACCAGAAGCAACAACAAAATACACGCAAATGTTGTTTTTGCTCTAAGGCTACTACCTGTTTGATATGCCTTCGGTATAGCTTTAATTAAGAAATCAATAAAATAAAATGAGTTCGAAGTTTCTTTGGTTAACAAGTAAAAGTGTGGACAGAATAAAATCGCTGAACGAACTTCGTCGGAAGATAGTTCGCTGCCAAAATTAAAACACACTGCAGTATATCAAATTGCGTACAACCAAAGCGGCAACGAAGTTCCTCTGACGAAGTTCGGCGAGAAAAGATTTATTTTTAATTTTACCGCTGCCGCCAAGCGCAAAATTAGTTATCAATGATAAGATGGCTTTGTTTCTTCACTTTTCTAGCAGATAATTATCAGGAATAGGAGAATAGGAAAGTAAGCGGTTTATTTTTTCTCTTTTGTATTTTTACATTTTTAATTTGTCTTTCAAAAGATGTGTATTACATTTCGAAAAAAAGGTTAAACTGTTCAGTACCAGTTTTTCAGTACCAGATTAAACTTAGATTAGGTAAACTGAGTTTAAATTGAACAGCTGGCTGACATTAGATTGGCTGATCTTAGTTTAAACCAGCCAGATCGGGCGTTTAAACTTACTGACCCTCAGTACCGACCACATAAACCACCAGTCACCATCTAACATCCTTCTCTCCCTATTGGCCAAGCCCGTCGGATCTGTTTTTTTTGCTGGGAATGAGAATCAAGGCAACAAGTAGTCCATTCATTGATTTAGACGAAGTGTGGTAAGCTGCTACAACAAAAAAAAAAAAAAAACAGCGAAAGTTTTTCGGTCGGTTTTCCTTTTATTTTTTTTAATTAATTAAAAGAAGTCTAGTTCCATTTTCAATAAAATAAGTATTTAAAATTTTTATTTTCTCATATATGCATGTATGTAAAAGTTTTGATGTATCTACATAAAATAGTTAAAACCCCGATTTAGTCGAACGTAAAAGTCCGGTTTACTCATAAATCGAAAAATCAAGATTTCAAAAAAACCCGATTGGAACTGGTTTGTAAAAAACCGAGTCAATCACCCTACTAATTGCCTTGTGAAATATTAAATCATGGCAGCAAGAAAGACAGCTTTGGCGTTGTGTGAGCAAGCGGTATGGGTTTTTATGACCTCTCTCTCCATCAAAGCGCGGCAGTCGTTTCTCTTCTGTGCCAACTGAAGACAATTGGAAATTCCAACGACTTAACTAAGCCAGCATAGGCGCTGTATCATTCTGCCGCGGATTCAGAGGCTGACGTTATTATTGTTGTTAATGCTGGTTCCCAAATAAACGAAATTCTCTACTTTTTCGAAATTATAACTGTTCTGCAGATCTTATGATATTCTCCAACATCAGATTAAAGAAATCACGCGAAAGGGAGTCTGAATCCTCGTTTGATATCAAACGCCTCGGAGAAGCAAAATACAAAAACAAAATATTTTCGCTTCTGGTTAAGTTGGCGTGTGTTGAGTAATCATTGATGATTTCTTACGTATGTTTAGACTAACTGAGCCTTAAGGCGTAAAACAAGAGCGTGTAGATATGTATGTAAGTTAAAAGAAACAAACACGCATTTTATATAAGAACATACATTTTAATTTTATTTTGACAATTCATTTATCTTTTTTAAAGAATTAAAATACAACAATAAACATATTTAGTTAATATTAAACAATATAATAATGAGTACATCACCTATTCAGTTATAATATCTTTTTAAAATTACAATCAATCATTTTCAATCCAGTTTATTGCAGATAGATTTCTATGAGGATGCCTTGGCATTGTCTTCAATTTTGAGTCGTTTTCACTTTTTACTCTGTCATGCCATTGCTTTTGTAATTTCTTTGAATTGTTTTGTGTTTGCATTGCTTATAGTTTAGCTTTAAATTTCAACTAGAAAATACATGTAAATACGAGTTTCTTTAAGGTTAAATAGCTTGGAAATTTGCATAATAAAAATATGTTTGTTCCCCACCAAATACGTTATAAATCCCTTTTACATTTAGCACAACACGTTATCTAAACATTTTCAAAATGGTAAATTTTTCTAAATTAATCGCTTATAATACTTTATTTCAACACAGTTAAAGTTCTCTCAGATAATATAATTTGTATGTGTGTATACATATAGTATAGCAAATGTACAATAATAACAAGGATATGTATGAGTACTATAGATTTACTACAATAGTTGAAAATTTAAACCACCCTAATTGTTAGTAAATTAATATTGCAAAGAGTATTAACATAAATCACAATAAATATTCAATAACACCTGAATACTGGTTTGGTCACTTAGATAAAAAATAAGCGTGTAAAAGAATTTATGGAAAAAATTATATGATTGTAATGAAAAGCTATTGCTTAACATACATACATGCATAGCTGAAAAACGGATTTTCACTTGTAAGCGTTAGAAAAAAAGTATGTGGTCGCTCTTAAAACAGATATGTATATAGGTACCAACATCGAGTATCAATTAAAACTAGAAATTTTTGTAAATTGTTTTTTTTTTGTTTTTACGACTCTCGGATGTTAGTTTAAAATACCACCATAGGTAAGCGATACTCATTTACTCCATTGATTTTTTCTAATCCTGAAAGTCAATCCCAGTTGCTTGTTTCTAATGTCACTTCAGCAGCAAACGCTATTTACATATATGTACGCCGCAGTCATCGTCACATGTAAGAGGGCGACGATTTGCGGGACCTAGAACGTGGCTTTGAAGGACTCTTCAGACTGTGACGTGAACCGCTTCGTGACTTAAAACCATCGGCCCAAGGTTCAGAAACGCGTCCATACCAATGCACCAAATCCATCACTTCTAACTGTGACAAATGGAAATTTGTAAATATAAAGTTTATTTAGTTTTAACAAAATAAAGACAAAAGCAATACCTGAAGGGCTTGTGGTAACTCTTTGAACATTTCGTGTTTTGTCAGATTCGCGTGCTGTGATAGGAACGATAAGCAATTCGACTTCAACGCAGTTGCCATGTAGCGATCGGCGATACCCAGCAGACAAAGCACCGATTCTTCATCTATCAGCGAGTTTAGAGTATTTTCGCATAATTCCTTTTAAAAAATAAATTGTATTATTAGAGCAGTAATTTTTTAGTTAAATATCTGTTGCAACCTTCAAGTCAAAAACTGAGTAGCGATCAGATAGTAGCATTAATTCACAAATTTGTTCAGCTCCCACAGTTTTATCTATAGGTGCGCCATAAATATACAGCAATAAGCGCCGAAATATCACTGGTGTAGTGTCGGTTATGATGATTTTTCTAAAAGAAAAAGTTGCAGTTGCTTTGAAAGCTGATTAATAACAATTATAAACGCCATCACTGAATCCGAATAGCTACGAACGTGGTGTATACTTTGAATGTATATCTTCGTAGCTATTCGGATGCAGTGACCTAATTTTCGTAGATTTCACGAAAATAGGACTTCCGATGGATTCAGCGGTAGTTCAGATAAGCAGCTGACAAGTTTACCTCTTTATGCTTTCTTGCATACCGGAAAGAAGGGCTTTTTTAAACCATTCACAACGCGACGATACAATCACTCGATGTGCACGGAATGTGTGTACTTGCGTTGGTGGTCGTTGAAGTTGCACCGAATGCGGTGTTTGCAACTGTGTATGCACATGTGTCACCTCAATGTCATCCTTGTGCAATATTGTTATGCCAGGCAGCTGTGCGTTGCTTGACGAATAAGTATGAACCTCAAATTCCATATCAGCTAGCTGAGCTGAGTGCAATAGACGTAAGGCATTCTTTGATAAATTACTATTGGCGGCAATGGGTGGCTCACATAAATGTTTTGTCAAGTTAAGCTGCATGAACACAATCAAACCATAGTATAAGCTGCAAAAGCGCGGCTGTAATAAAAAAGCAGTATACCTTTACATTTTTATAGTCATACGAGCGACAATGCTCCAATGTCAATTCATCAGTCACATTTTCCATGATGTTGTCATTTTCCGCTAGCTTTAGTTCGTGTTCAAAAATATTGGAAGGCTCTAAAAGCCCAAGCTCTATGAGTGATTGAGTAAATTCGTTTTTCTGTACCAGCTTACACACCTAAAATTATGCAATTAAGTAAAAATATATTACAGGTAAACAAGCAACTTACGTTGCTGATAGAGTCGCGCAGCGCAGACTTATGATCAAAAAGCTTAACAATCACGCCATTCTAGAATAAACAGAGCAATTTAAAATATATAGATAAGTATGTGTACATTTTCAATAATTCATACAATTTGACTTGTGGCCAATTTGAAGCAAAATTTAAACTCCTTCCAGCCCAATTTCTCGTCAACTCGGTCTGAGAGGTTTTCCATTATCAAAATGTATGCCGGTATATCTATAATTAACTGTTCCAGATTTTGATTTATAGTGCTCCTTTTACTTAAGTAATCCATTTCGCAGAATGAATTTCTATAAATTAAAAAAATCGCTTTCATTAGCTTATCTATTGACTCTAAGAAGGCTTTTAGCCACGCCTACTTTTTGTCCCTAATAATCTCCAAAGCCGTTGCGATTCGACCATATATATCACGCATCTTTCGGACCTCATACATATACAATACGAATTTAAGATCATTTTCTGCAGTCATGAGGCGCTTATTATCTGTTGGATTATCGTAAAGAGTTAGTCCCACTGGGGGACCACGCCTAAGCCTGGGCGATATAGGAGGTGGACTAAACAGCGGAGCTGCGTTATCTTCCAACACTACATTGGCGCTGATAAAAGCGATGTTTTGAGTTTGTGTTGCAATTGAATTGTCAGACTGCTGTCTCACCGACAAATCCAAATGTGAACAATTTATATCCTGCAACACACGTATATGTACATGCATAAATGATGCAAAATTTAAATATAAAATAATGAAAATGCTCGCGTAATGCCTACTCACTTTACACATTTTTTCTAAGGAATTTTTAANACATGCATAAATGATGCAAAATTTGAATATAAAATAATGAAAAGCTCGCGTAATGCCTACTCACTTTACACATTTTTTCTAAGGAATTTTTAATTTCCTCGACGACATCAGTTAGTATCACCAATGCGGATTCGATCTAAATATAATTATAACAAAGTTTTTATTATAAGACGGATTCATTTCATAAAAGCTCTGTCAAACTTACTTCAGGTACTAAATAATTTACCAACTCTGCTTTCTCCTCTGTAGTTAATCCAATAAAAACGTTCAAAATATTACGCAAGAGTTGATGTATTTGTGACATAAAAATCGGAATACGTGTGCGCACGTATTTAATGATCTCATTTTTTTGGTAGCGCGTTATATCTGAGCCATCTCGAATAAANACAAAGTTTTTATTATACGACGGATTTATTTCATAAAAGCGCTGTCCAACTTACTTCAGGTACTAAATAATTTACCAACTCTGCTTTCTCCTCTGTAGTTAAACCAATAAAAACGTTCAAAATATTACGCAAGAGTTGATGTATTTGTGACATAAAAATCGGAATTCGTGTGCGCACATATTTGATGATCTCATTTTTTTGGTAGCGCGTTATATCTGAGCCATCTCGAATAAAGATGTTACAAAATTGCAATACTTTCGCACACCCTGTACGGACAATAGCATATATATATTTATAATTTTTCATAATCTCTGTCGTATGTATGTACGTATCTTACCGATTGCAGATTCCTTGAGGCAGTCTTTGAATGTTGCGTAGANCATCATATATGTATGTATTTATATTAATTTTTCATAATCTCTCCTCGTATGTATGTTCATATCTTACCGATTGCAGATTCCTTGAGGCAGTCTTTGAATGTTGCGTAGAGTGAGGCGGGTTCATGGGATATAGTAACAGGATTGATTGCTTGTATGATGTGGTTGAGCACAGAATGAGTATCCATTAGAGTATTAATCACAACTATTAAGGAAGAATTGTTGAAGAATGTAATTAATTAATAATCTAGATATTAAAACCATGGAGGTATTGCTTACACTTCTTAAGCTGTATCAGTTTCAAATACTTTCTAGTTGGGTCAACCATTTTTGTGAGAGAAGGTTGCGTTTCCGCGAAATTTATCAGCTTCTCGCAAACATTTTCGTCCATATCAGGCATCAGGGATTCAGTGTATAACCAATGAAGCACTGGCGTTAACAAAAATGTCGGCAAGTTGTATAGAACGCCCACCGGTGTTAGAGGCGAAGAAGGCGGCGTATCCATTGAGCTGGGAAAAGGCGAAGGGCTGCGTGCGCGATATGGTGACAGAGGCGGGCGTCTGGTATTACACACAGTAGTTGGCTCTGTGGGTTGCAGCAAAAAATCTTGACAGAAATTAAATATATTTTTGCAATGAGATTGCGTTTCAAGATGAGAATCGGAATTGGAAGTGGGTGGAAAACGACGCATTCCGCCGCCTTCTGCATTGGACGCGTTTTTATCATTGTTGTTGCCGCTACTCGAGAGGCAATTAAAAGAGTTTGATAAATGTGCACTGCGATGAGCTATTAAGCCACTGTTGCTGCCAACATTTGAATATTCGCAGGGCGGTTGCAGATATATGGGCGACAGATTGAGACGCGGCAATGATTTCTGGCTATCGTCATTGTTATCAGAACATGATATGGGCAGCGTCACAGAAATCTTGATGGGATTGGACGCCCCAAGTAAAGTACCCGCTCCTTCACTATCCTGGCCTTTATGAGGTTGTTGGTACTGCTGTGGTTGCAATATGTCGTGGTTTTTACAAGCAGTGGGTGGCTGCGGCAACATTGACTCGTTCGTCAGCACACACATGCTGCAGTCGAAGCCATTTAGGCGTAAAACGGAAGAGTGCGCATGGAACTGGAAAAAATTGGTTATAGCGTATAAACACAATTTTAATGGAAACCTTTTTGTGCAGAAATGAGAACTCAAATAGTCAACTAAGTAGAGCAGCGAAATGAAGACTAAAACAAAAATTAAAATAAAACATATAATTGTATTATAAATTAAATTAAAAAAAACCAATCCCAAAGAAATGCCAGACTGCTTACATCAAAGCCATCAGAGCTTTTAATGACTACATCCGAGAAGTACGACTCTTGCAGCGCCTCTGCGAAGGAGAACTCTTTTTCTTGCCCGGCAGCGTGGCACTCCTTCAGCCGCTTGCACTCTAATGTATACCAGCTTTCGCAGTCCAAGATAAGCGTATCAGTCGGTGTTAAAGTGTTTGTCTGCAAATCGTAATTAACGAGAGGCGTTAATGCATATAAAACAGAAGCACCAAAAAATTTACTCTAAATTCTATGCTATGACCAGCAAAGGCGCCGAATACTAAACGTGGATTTGTTTCGTTCACATCGAATGTTTCACAACTAAATAAGACACTTGCCGAATCGCAGCAAGTACCGCAGTCTTTTGATTTTGGAAGTGGATTAACCAAATCATTATACCATGTTATATCATTCGTATCATCCAGGCGAAATTTAATGCTGAAATTAGTTATGAAGTTCAATGAGTAATCCTAATAAATACCACACATTTTTAAACAATACATACCCTTCCAATCCAGAAATTTCCGCTTTATGTTCAAAGGTGCAGGACACGATCTTAAAAATGATTTACACATTTAATTTAGCTGACTGTAAAATAACCGGCGTTCACTCACCTCCCAAGTGCCGAGGAACGTATGCTCCGCCATGGCGCTGGTTGATCGTTGGTAAATCTCACCTTTTAATAATTAAAATTATTCCTACGCTTTTTAATTGAGTCCTCCTAACAAATTTTATACATTTGTGCAATCAGCGAAAATTTTTGTGTACCCATCGGCCTGGCGAATTTGTCATATGCTTCTTCTTCGTTGACAGCTGTTTCGTGTATTGTGAATGGTTGGCTGTCAGAATGTAAGCAAACGGCCACTACAGTGTTTTCTCTACAGGAGGACCTTGACTAATGTGAAATTAACTTTTGCATTTGAAGAAAAATATGCCACATTTATGAGCTTGAGTTAGTCTAGACTTTACGTAACTTAACCTAATATAAATTTTTTTTTCATTGGTAGGTAGCAATGAAACTCCCACTTTACACCCACCTCCTACACTTTAGTCTTAAAATGCTAGATTTTATTATTTTTGGATAAAATTAACACACAAGTTTATTTTATTTCTAAAGCAGCTTCCATTTCTTGCTTTCGAATGAAGGTAATTGCTTGCACGAAAACCTTTAATTACTCCTATATTATATACAAAAAATGTTGAGCTAAGGCAAATAGGACTTTTTCACCGAAAGCGCTGATTTCCGAATCTGATGAATAGATTCGCGAGTCATAAATATGTACACCTTCTTCCACTTCCATTTTATATTGCATATTACTTAATCTAAGCTCAATAAATTTTACAGGATTCGTGTCTACAAAGAACGTAAATCTATAAGAAGAGACAACACGTTATAATTGTAGCGAATGTGAACATCAGGAGCGTACCTTCTCTTTTCATCCAGTCTAAAAACGTATTTGAGCAAAAGGGAAGGCCAGCTCCGCTCCTGATGTTGAGACTCGCTACAATTATAACGTGTTGTATCTTCTTATAGATTTACGTTCTTTGGTGTCTATAAAACGAACAATACAAGCTTATATCAAAATTGAACGCAGCTGGAACTATTTCAAATATGATACGCATACTTAATGATGACTTATCCCTAGAATAATTTATCTCGCCTTTTTAAATATCCCTTTTTAAATTAGGCAATTGAAAAATTTCATACTCACAAAATCATGTAAATTTCAAGTGAAACTCTATTATGAATTTCAGCAAATATATATAAAAATTTAAAGTAATGCTTGGCCACGGGTATATGAAAAAACTGATCATCAATCAGATTACCTTATTCAATATCCGCACTGGTGTAAAAATTAATCTAAATTACTTGCGACAAAATCAAAATGTTTTCCTGCTTATTTATTTATTACATTGTATCTGCATTAAGCTCATCCTATGACAGCATTTATGCAGTTTTATATTGTTCTATGAATCTCCATAGTTGCCTTTTCGTAATTTAATAATCCGTTCTTACTAATTTTGGCCCCTGTAATCCCATTGTGCGACGTGACGCCTTTGCTGGCGAACATGTTGGCCACCTTCACTTTTACCTTATAGCCCCGTCAGCATGAATACTTTGCGTACGTTCCGCTCAAGGATGAAACTGACAGTGGAGTAGCCTGTGTGTGTTTGCATAGAAAGCGCAAGATTGGCAACCCTTGCGTCGACGAACCCAACGAACATTGGCCATTACTAAAATTTTGACGCACATGAGTCCGTCACTGCTGACAGTTGTATAGCCTTGCGTTTACACACCACAAGACAAATGAGAATATGCATTAATTGTCACATTGTTTGAGTAAAGTAGGCATCCAGACAATAAACTGTCTTCTAAAAGCCAGAGACAGTGACGAAGACATCAAGAAAAGTGTGAATATATTGGTAAACAAAGTGTGAATGTTTTGCTATTGTATCTGCAAAATTTACCTGTGTAAACCCCAAGTACGCGGCCATAAGGAACAGCTGATTTTTGTTTGCAGACGCAACACCTTCATTGCGGCGTACCTCTACGGCACGTACGCTACTTCCTTCGCTTAATTTTCTGTTATCGACGTACAAGTACTCATTTTGATGAGCCTATTATGTTCGGAAACCCTACTCTGAAGCGTAGTTACGGTGAATGCTGAATGAGCAAGAAGAAGGAACAGGAAACGGACCTAGCAGCATTCTTTTGAAACTTAATTGCAAAACCCCAATCGATTTGGATAAAACTTGCTTAGATCAAAACCAAATGAGAATGTATATATATATAAGAACAAATTTAAATGAAATCTTACAGTTATCAAGAATAAAACTTAGGGTCGGTTTTTCAGTGCACGGATGTGGCTTAAACTTAGACTAAACGCTCGAGCTGGCTGGTTTAAACTAAGATTTGCCAATTAGCTGTTCAATTGAAACATAGAGTGTACATCAATTGCACATGGATTCCGAACGATGCTTAGCACGAAAGCAGCGCTGAACGCAACCACCGCACAGATAAGCGATGGTCTGAACAAACGCCGATCTTGTGTTTCCTCACGCGTTTGGTCTTTCGAAAGTACAGTGACACTTTACCAGGACACCCTTGACTCGTTCCTTTCAGATCCGATGAAGCCGTGGATGATCAATTATCTCTGCTGTGCCAGCCGTCGATGGATTAACGGAGTCTTCTATCCCAGACGCTGTTTAATCTTTACTTGATCAAATTTGCTTCGTCGTTATCTGGGATTGCTTTAGGAACTTACGACAGTTTTTGCCATGAAATTAGTGATTGTCTTGATAGCGGTAGATTCAACTAGGGAACTACAAATTTCTGCAGCTAAAATCGCTGGCACACCTTTCATAATATGGACGATGAAGGTCAGGCTAAAACTCAACGTAAACCGTCTCAATAACGCTTTGCTTCGTGACAACTGCCACCTAGATATGTGAGAAGGCTTTTCCTACGCTGGAAGTACTACGCTAAGTCGTACGTAGAGCTTCGTTTCTCGAAGGCGCAATAAACTAAAACCTTGAACAATACTCACCGCGACATGATGCATCGAATCACGATCACAGAGCCAGCGGAAGCCTTGGACCCTGGCTCAACAAAGGTCAGGCTAGTACAGCCACCACAATAGGTTCTTCCGCGCTTAAGTCCGAAGTGGCAAACACGATACCAACCCATCCTTTGCATGGCCATTCAACTCGTTCAAAGAGCGCCAAATATGAGTGAGTGGTTTCTCCGAAATTTCGGCCTATCGCGGCGAATATTTACCTTCAAATGCTTATTACTTCCTATTTGAACTGGGCTAGGAATTTAAAAGCGCTCAATATTTGTATATAACTGCGATGATTCTGCGCTTACATATGTACCTACATCAGCTTTACGCAGAAAGGAAGTATCCCTTTTGTCTTCTTTTTTTTTACATACTAAATAGATTTATAGAAAAATATATATCAACTCTTTTGTTATTATTTTTTTTATTCTTATTAATTAATATACACGAATTTAATTTGATATATTCATTTAAAATTCATACAGTTTGTTGATATCTTATGGATTCTGATCGGCGGCAGAAAAGAGTGTAGATCGTACATATCTAGGCATGTACTATGTATTGTTTATACAATGTATGTATGGAAGTAAGAACAATATTTGGTTTTATGGGTGGCTTGAGTAAACTTTTAAAATCAGGGTGTATTCACTGGAAAAATTAAAATCCTTTAATATATATATAGGATGATTCAAGGATGATGCATTTCTTTGAGAGCAATTATATGTGATATCTTAATGTTTTTCTTTTAACTTTTTTGTAACACAGTTGGTACTACAGGCTTTGGCAAACTTAGTTATGGGGCGATACTCAGTTGAATAACACGCAAAAAGCTGCTTTTACACAGGTCGATTTTCGAGTCGACAGAAATCGACCCATGTAAAGGAATCTTAAAGGTGATCTAAACATTTTATGAAAATCCACATACCCTTCAAGAGAAAACTATGCACCCACAAAGAAAAACTGTTTGTCGTGGTTTTTGTGCCGGTGGATTCATCGGACATCAGCTCTTCGATGCCAGTAAGGCTGGTACGGTAGACATTATCGAAGCATAAAAACAAACCCTTTATGGTTTAAATTAAATGACATGATCTTGGACAATATGTATGCTGAAGAACGAAGTCATATGCGTTATAAATGGTATACAGCCCGCACTATGCCAAAAATTATTGGAAAATTGTGAAATGCGCAACCTGTATTTCCTGACGAGTCGTGGTGGGCATTTTCATTGTCTTTCATTTCGACAATTTTGTTTGATTCACATATTATTTACAAGCTGCGGTCTCAATGAATCACCCTGTACATACGCTTGTATATTTGTAAATACATAGTATGTATGCATGTAACTACATATATGTATGGTATTGTTTTTGTAAATTCGCTCAATTTGTATTTGTTTGTATGCCTCCGTCAACCAGCTTTCTGTTGGCTGCACCAAGCTGATGAGGAATTGATTGAGACCAATGTATACATCAGGGTGGTCCAAAAACAGTTAAGTCGGAATTGTAATGCTCTCACCCTCTAGGATTGTTCTATATCGAAAAGAAGTACACCCCTATTTTTTTATTTTGAAATCGAAAAATATTTAGTGGTCATTCAAAGCGCTCAAAGTTTTCTATACATTTTATATGGGGAAAAACAACTTTTCGTAGAAATGGTATAGAATTCTTGAAAATCAATATTTTTCGATCGGAAAACTCTGGTTCTCTTCAGGAGACTTTCAGTAATAATACCCAATTATTTATTGAACCACTTTTTAGTACTAACGATGTTTTATTGGTCCCCCTTTTGTATTTTTCGGGGTTTTTGTGGGTTTTTGGCGGACCTATAAATTATAGTCGCGATGAAAATATGGTTAGATAACTAATTGGGTATTATTACTGGGAATCTTCTGCAGATAAGCAGAGTTTTCCGATAGAAAAATCTTGACTTTTAAGAATTCTATACCATTCCTTCGAAAATTTGTTTTTCCCCCATATAAAATATATGGAAAACTTTGGGCGCTTTGAGCGACCTCTAAATATTTTTTGACTTCAAAATAAAAATATACGGGTATATTTTTTTCGGTATAGAACAATCCAAGGGGCTGAGAGCATAAAAATTCCGACTTTACTTTTTCACATGGATTTTTGGACCGCCAATGTATACATACCTATGTATGTGTTTTTATATATGTATATCAATTATCTATGTAGGTATATTTTTATCTTTTCGTTTCCACTGCTTTTATTTTATTATTTTCGAAATATATTTATTAAATATTTAAACCGATTTTTTTATACTTATTGCCTGAAATGAGACCTGGTTTCCATGAGATTCTGTAAATGCAATCGTAACATTAACAGCACGAATTTCGTATTTTTTTACAATATAATTATTGAAATCCATAAAAAATCGAAATAGACCAAAAAGTACAAGATTTGGAAACATTTTAATTTTCCAATATTTTAATTTAGCTCTTTTCAAGTTTCGCTATACACAATTTAAAATTTAAAATTTTTGCTTCTTATTAATTTTTTTTTTTTTATAATTTATATCAAATCACAGATTTTGTTTTTG